GACATTCTATTTGGCATTCTATCTGGCACATCTTCTGGCATTCTATCTGACATATCTTCTGACATTCTATTTGGCATTCTATCTGACATATCTTCTGGCATTCTATCTGACATATCTTCTGACATTCTATTTGGCATTCTATCTGGCATATCTTCTGGCATATTTTCTGGCATTCTACCTGGCAAATCTTCTGGCACTCTATCTGACATTTTATCTGGCATACATGAGGTCCGGCAAATCTTCTGGCACTCTATCGAGGTCCGGCAGGGAACACTGGGCGTGGATGGTCGTGGTTGAGGTCCGGCAGGGAACACTGGGCGTGGATGGTCGTGGTTGAGGTCCGGCACGGAACACTGGGCGGGGATGGTCGTGGTTGAGGTCCGGCAGGGAACACTGAGCGTGGATGGTCGTGGTTGAGGTCCGGCAGGGCACACTGGGCGTGGATGGTCGTGGTTGAGGTCCGACAGAGAACACTGTGGATCGCGGGTCGCAGTTGGACGAGGAGGACGACGAGGAGGACGACGAGGAGGAGGAGAGGAGATGAGGAGAGGAGAGGAGAGGAGGAGCAGGCAACTGACATAAAATCTAACAACCCTCACCTGGCAGGTGGGGAAATAGTGATTTTCCATGGCTATGTGGCTGTTTACCAGAGGGTAAGTCATGGTCATCCATGACGACTGGATGATTTGTAGGAAACCTTCATTTGATGAACATATAGATGTAAAAAAAATGAGATATGTAGAAAAACAATTGACGCTAACAACCATTGGTACCATATTCATGCCAATATAAGCTAGATATACATGATATACTGTATTTATATGTATTTATAGCAACCCCCAGTCATAGATGCCGAACACTTGGAAACCTGGGAAAGTATGGAGGAAAAATCATCGAATCTCCTCTGTGATCTGGTCCCATCTGGGGATGGGTCAAGTTACCGATGACATCCTATGACATTAGGATATGACTAGGAGAATACCCTCTGGTAAACATACAAAAAGCATCAAAAAGCTATTGAAAATGGCCATTTATAGTGGATTCTCCCATTAAAAATTGTGATTTTCCATAGCTATGTTAAATTACCAGAGGGTAAACATCCATTCACCAGCTTTGACTGTTGTGGTACCATCCGGGTTTTCACTCGGGTTTTGACTCATGGCCGCTATAGCCATCCATGGCCATCTTGGTCCAGCGGCCATGCATCACTTTTTGGAAATCCTCGATGCTGGACTGTGGAGTCAGCCTCGGCCACTGGACCATCGCAACGTGGTCCCGTACATTCAGTCGACCTGTATGTGCATTGTTGCCAAACATAGTTATGATGTACACATTTATCACAAATATATACAAATATTAATATTACATACATAGAAAATCATGTGATATCATGTGTATATTATGTCTGTAACTACTACATTTCTGCCCAAACATCTCCAAACGCCTCAAAGATCCTAGCGCTGAGACCAAGAGACCCTGGGTACCAGTCTGGATTCGCGTAGATACCGTCCGACCGGGCCCAACTGATCTCCTGCCGCGCCGAGTTTGAGTTGGCAGCTCCATTGACTGGTGGATCTCAGATATGATGAATGTGTAAAACAATGCCATAAACCATCCCCCAGTCATCAGCATAAATAGGTGGTATGTTTACCATTCCCAGTCATGGCTGGTTTATAACTGGATGTTCAGTTTCCCATTTTATGTGGGTTGTACTCCAATAATTCCCAACATGCCCATATGGGGGGGGTTCTTAAAATGGGGGATCACTAAGTCACCATGGTTGTTTCAATACTTAAATGACCTAATGACTTGGATGATTGTTAGGAAACCTCCATATGTGATTCAGATATGTTATAATTAACATCCTATGTTTTAAGATACGACGACGGTAAGACAGCAACGCCTCTGAACTCCAACCCATCTGGAAGCCATCTGGAAGCCGTCTTTATGGCAACATTCTCTGCAGTTGTTGAAAAAATAGGGACAAATAAATCAACAAAAAATCCACATCCACATTCACTTAGAATTCACCGCTTTTCCCCTTTTGAAGTTGCCATAACATAGGGGTATATATGCATATCCCATTTTCAGACAAACCCGGATTCCACCCTCCTCGTAGCACTTGTCGCCCGGCTGGGCTGTGCCACAAGGCGGCTCCTGGATGGAATGAACATGGGAAATGATAATACAAAAAAACAACGTGTTTCTGGTTCGCCGCATTTGATTTCAATGTCATTCATTGTCGGATATTGGGGGCTACGATTTTGCAGCCGTACCCAAGAATGTCCCAAGTTTCTGTGGTTTCAACTCTATAAGTCTGCAGGTCTGCAGGTATGTCGGTATGTAGGTAGGAATGAATGCATGCATGCATGTGTGTGTGTGGGTGTGTGTGTGTAGGTGTGTGTGTGTGCGTGTGTGACTGTGTATGTATGTACCTTGTAAATTAGTAAGTAAGAAAGCAAGTATGTATGGTATGCTTAGCATATTATTAATTATATAATATATAATATATAATATATAATATATAATATAATATATAATATGTAATATATAATATATAATATGTAATATATAATATATATTATATACTATATAATATAATGTATTTAATATAATATATAATATATAATATATAATATATAATACATAATATATAATATATAATACATAATATATAATATATAATATATAATATATAATATAATATATATAATATATAATATATAATATATAATATATAATATATAATATATAATATAATATATATATAATATTATATAATATATATATGTGTGTGTACTATCCAAAAACCCGCCTACAGCCAGACAGCTTCCATGAGGGCCCCTACATGTTCAGACAAACCTGTGAGAATTGCTAGAATTCAATCACAGTTCAAGGTTTCAAATTGTGCCCCGAAACTGGCACAAAATTGCAAAAGTGCTACTTCGATAGACCATAAATCATCCCAGTAACGAACCGTTTTGGGGAATCATTTTAAGTCCCAAGTAGCTTACAGAACGGTATACCCAACAAGAAACCTCAATAGGGGATGGTTTAATTGTCAGAATCTCATCATTTACCATATCTTTCCATAATCAACCCATAATTATCTTATATAACTGTTTTCCATGTACCCTCTGGTTATTCAACATAGCTAATTATGGAAAATTGCCCATTTATAGATTATGTATGATGATTTGCCTATTAAGAATGGGGATTGTCCATAGATATATCAAAAAAACAGATGGTAAATATCCATTTAATTTATAACATTATAGACTATACATAATTTATAATAGGCAAATACCCTATAGCTTCTTAATAGGCAAATCCCTATAGCTTCTATTAGAACATGATAGAACCAATTTTTCAGAAGCCCTCAGCGCCGCTCCTTGATCTTCTTGGGCGTCTGTGGGCCATTGTCCTTAAACCTCGACACAAGGCCCGCAAGGCCGGGAGCCTCAAAAAACAACCGTAGTACCTGGGGAAACCATGGGGAAACCATGGGGTTTTCCACATCTATGTTAGTTTACCGTAGGGTATATTCAAATGGATACTTTGTAGATCAAAAAAACAATAGTATATCAAAGTATTGTTAATCTGAACGTTGATCAGATTATATTACAATAATTAACGTTGATCATATTTTCGTGTAAACAATCCTATGTTTTATGCCCAAATGTTCATTGCCATCCCAAAAATCCCAAAAAACATGTTGTTTACATCTGTCCCATCTATCCCTCGCGGCTGGGTGTTTTCCTGTGGCTTTTGCTTGGAGATTTGTGTAACCTCCCCTGAAAGATGTGAAAGTTAGTTAATTAATTGCGATCATCATCTTATTGTAATGGTATATGATGATATTTATGCCATGATTTCATTGGTATTTGATGGTAGTATTTATGACATAATTGGTTGGGTTCCAACTGATGTCAGGACTTGAAACTGCCAGCCGAAACTGGGAAACTGGTGTTGTGAGTCTTCTAAACACGAGCTGTTCCCCCCCCGTTTCCGAATCAGCGCATCCTCCAGGGGCCATCTTGTAAAAAGCGAAGAAGTCAAAATCGCAGGGGGGTTCGTCGATCCCTTCCTAGTGCGACTCGTTGCGGTTCCGTATCAAACATGGCCGGGACTGCCAAAAAATTGGAGGTGACTGGAAAATCAGAGGGTCCCAACTTGAAATTGGAAAATCCGGTGATTTGAAATGTTGAAATGTGGAAATGTCCATTGCTATCTTTGATTGAGGGTAGTGGGCAGGTTGCTCCAAGAGGTCAACTGCTTTCCCATATCATGAAAAGATCACCAGCTTGTCACACATTCACATGGAAACGCGCTATGTTGCACCTGCAAAAAGCATCAAAAAGCTTGAAAAAACAGAAATTTTGAACTTCAAGACATACACTTCAAGACTCCTGGGAGTAGCATCTCAAAACATTTTTTCCGGGCGTTTTCAAGGAAAATGATGAACCATTGGATTATAGTGCACTATATATACTGTTGGATTCGATGTTTTGGATTTTTGGTGTGTTCCCTCCATTTTTGCCAGACGAATCTACGGATCCCACCCAGACTCTCCATCTCTGCCAAGCAGCGTAGGAGCCGGGATAATGTTTCCTGGGACCAGTTTTGATGATCCACAGACTACGTGTTTTTGGCAAAAGAAAATAACGTGTGGAAAATTGTAGAAAAGATGACACATCTCTATATGATTCTAGAAATTCTATATGATTCTTTCGATGACTGCTGTTTTTTCCGGTGGAAAATCCCCCAGTTCCAGAATTGTTGTTCATCTTCGCTACGTAAGTAATCTATTTTCAACGGTCCAATTTCCCCAATGATTTCGATGGTTTTTCCAGCTAGAAACCTCCATTCATAGATGATCTTCCATAGTTTTTCCATAATCTCCCATAGTTTTTCCCATGCTTTTCCCAATAAAAGCTGTTTTTTCCCATGCTTTTCCCAATAAAACCATATAAAACCTTGGGATTTTCCCATCGCAGAACTCAAAACCTCCATCCATGGCACTCGAAGAGGGCCTTGGCGGCGCTCACGCGCTTCTTGGCCAGCGTTGGGTCATCCAACTTGTCCCAAAAGGTCATACCAGTGCCATGATCCGTGATCCTCCGACACAAAAAACGTTGGATCACGTTTGGTTTATAAGGCCTGGTCATAACTATGGGGCATGGGAAAAATAAGCTGGTTGGTTTATAGGTGATATATCTGATATATCGAACTAGTCAACCAAAAAGTGGTTTATATGGGTTAATAATGATTACCCTCTGGTAAACGTTGACATAACGAACTGGAAAGATCTACAAAAAACTATGGAAAATCAATGAAAATCACAATTTTTAATGGGAAAACTCACTATTTCAATGGCCATTTTCAATAGCAAACTGTTAAATTACCAGAGGGTAAACATCATCTATCAACATCCCAAATGATCCAAATGTCTTGGAGAAAGCTAATGGAACTTGACATGCTACCCATGATACTGTATAATTTCATGGTTGTTCAATGCTTTTGCTGGCGCCAGTCGCCCATGTCGCCCCGCCTGTCGTACTCTCGCTTTCCGGATTTGATCCAGGCATGGTAGTCTCCCTGGAGCCAAGGTGAGATTTTTTTGTGGCTCAGTTTGCCCTGCTAGTGCTACCCTGCTGCGCACCCCAAAAATAGCTATGGATGTCCACCTGCCCAGATCTGCCCCAAAGATGCTGTAAGAAGCTTCTGGTGTGTTTGAACTGAGGCTATTCCCCAAATCAGACCGCCGAGGCGCCGAAATGCCCTCCAGCTCATCTAAAGAAATTTCACCCGCATCCTCCTGAGCTTAGAGACGCTAAGAGGGGGGATCTTGGCCTTTGGGGCGATGACTTTTAGAAGTTAGCAATCCTATGAAATATTTATTCAGAAAATAACAAACTCTAGATCTGTTTGGAAAGTACTAAGTACAGGAACATCTGGAGCATGCTCGTAAACGAACTGTGTTTGGAATTCACCTTAAAATTCCATTGCGATCACAATCCGACAGTTCCAAGACCATCGAATTCTCACAATGAATGATTAATGAATGTTCAACAGATTGGTTTCAGAATAATCCCATGCCCCCAATATGAAATGGCAGTGTGTCAAAACCTTGTACCCCTGTAGTTCACATCAAAATAGCTGGTAAATGGATGTTCATCCCCCTGAAAATGGTATTAATAGGTATTGATCCATACCCAAATACCCCTTGGAAATAGTGGTTTAGTCTTGGATTTATTCATGTTGGACCCGGCGAAGGGACGGTTTTCGGAAAGGAGCTTTCCCGCGAATCATGTTTCCCGCAAGGGCCATTGTCAATGTTGTGAGGTCCCCAAAAAAGGAGGTACCCTCTGGTTATTTAACATAGCCATGGAAAATCACCATTTTTAATAGGTAAACCCAGGTAAACCATCTATAAATGGGCCATTTTCCATGGCTATGTTAAATAACCAGAGGGTAAATCTTGGTAAATCTTGGTGAATCAACAAACATCTTGAAAAATGACCAATTCGGGGTCTCCTTGGTCTTAAACATTGACCAAGAAGTAACCCCCAAGTTGAGATCGAGCCAACTTCCATCCAATCCTAAAACAGTGAGCAATTATGGGGCTTTCCATAAATGGTAAGTTTCTAATGGAAGATCCATCTATAAATGGATGATTTGGAGGTACCCCCATGACTTAGGAATACTTTGGAAACCCCCATGGCATAGTTTTTTTTAACCCTTTCTGTTGGAAAACCAATGCCATGAACCGCCATAGCCAGGTCTCAAAATTGTAGGTGCAGTCTGCCGTCCCCGACGGCTCATCACAGAAGCCTCCGGAAAATGCGCTGGGAAACGAGGCCAAAAAGTGGGGGTACCTGCAGGATGATGTAAAAATGATAACTCGGATTCCATCACCGTTGAATGGGGTTTTTGTTGAGGGTCTATATAATGATAATGATGTGTGATGCTCCGATTCCATCTTCATCCATCTAAACTGATGAGTGGTTATAACTCCCAAAAACACATCTGGGGATAAAAATATCTTCGAACTGGGTATCTGAACTCTTCTCATGACAAATTCTGGAAAAATCGCCCCTTCACCCAACAACAACAACAACAACAAAACCGCGTTGTTTTCGCCGCACCTCCGGGCTGATCCTCGATGCACTGCAGTCCGTGGCTCTGAGCGCTCGTGTTGGTCTTTTCCTCGGACCCCATTCCATGGATCGTGGTGAAAATCAAAAAGGGCGAATCCAAGAGATTACCCCAGTGAACAAACATGAACAAACTATAGAATTTTTGGATGATTCAAAAAAAATGGATCCCCCTTGTGGTGTTCATATTAATATAGTTATCCCATTGCTGGATTGCACATCATCTCGACGTTGTTAACTGGCATGATCCTCCCAGCCAAGCATCGAAAAATTTCATCTGTGGACATTTGCCTGGTAAACTGTACCTTGGCGACGCCGGCGATTCCAAGGTTTGACCCGATGAAAAAACCCGAGTTTTTTCTGCGACAGAAAGGGCATTGGTTCTGCAAGAGCCGAGGCAGTGGCCAAACACCATCGTAAGCCACCTGCCGCACAACGCGTCGGTCAATGTGGAGTCATGGTTTTGCTGAAAGACCATGCACCATCTTCAACTGGACCATCCAAGCAATCTGTAGGTAGGTAGTGCCAAAATGCAAGATGTCAATAGAATGAAAGAACTGCAAGTTAAGTCAGCAACAACATGACACAACCATGACACACCATCAATCATCCAGTAAACAGCAGCCAATGTTTTCATCAATAGGTGGGGTTCCTAGAGATGAGCAATTTCCGTGTTGTATCACCAAGAAATTCCTTGTTGTTTGGAAGAAAAACCTACGTATGACACCGGGATATGATCGGAGCCAAGGCCGCCCGATGCGCCTTGAAATCAGGAAAAGGAAAACCAGTTTGTAGTTTGTTGCAGCCCACGAAGTAACCTTGGCATCTTAGGCGTTGGCACAGTCCGAGGTAAGGATCATGATGTCAATTCCATGGTGATAAAACGTCTTTTGAGGATGGTGGACATTCAAACAAACTGGTATGTACATATATATATATATACATATTTATATAAATGTAGATATAATATTATATATATATATATCTGTGTGTGTGCTCATCTTTTTCTAAATAAACCTGCCTCAAACTAAACAACCCAGGGACCCAGGGTATTGAAAAATCAAAATCTACATTCCGGTTCAATTTACCAACACTAACCATTATTAACCACTATTAACCACTGTGAGTAAATTAGTAAACCGAAGTATAGGAATCATCAGTCACTTTTTTTTTTTCCCATTGCAATTTAAAGCCTTACAGGCACTCAGACAGAAACTAACAAAAGCGTGCAATTCGCGACAGCAGCTCACATCCGGGTGTCAAAGCACCCCCAATCTGGTTTCCAGCTAGAGCGGAATTTCTTGCCGTCAAGAAAAGAGCTGGAGCAATAGAGGCAAGCTTGTACATATATTGACCAGACATTGGTGGGATTGACAGGGACCAGGTGAATGCCTAGAGCTACCTGACACCGTAACCCAAAGGAAGAGCCTAACGTATTGTTGATAACTGAAGTGTCAATGCCCGGCAATGCCTCAGAGATTAAATCTTTAAGGTAGCGATGACATCGATGTATTAGTCGTCCAAAGCCCATATCTTGGTTAAAAAGGGGAGAAACAAAACCCAACCTTGAGATAAAGTCAATCAAAACAATGGACCACGGGGTAAAAGCAGTGATTGGCGATGTTCCACTGCACCAATACGCTTCGCGCATAAACCGGTGAATGGCATCAGCGCAATGCGGAGAGCTAACAGCTTTAGGTACAGGTGAATTTGAGACATCTAACCCTTGGACAACTGCGGTTCGATGTGTCACCCATTGATTGAATTTGGGATATTGTTGTTTGAGCGCATCCCAAATGCGATTGGGAACGAAAGCGCCAGAGTTGAGCAAGTTCAGGAAACATCGCTCCAACTCCCCTACTACCAATGTAGTTAGACAAGTTCCACGGCACAAAACAGGAGCAGGAGCTTTGCCCCTTATCCTACGGCTTGGTGGGCAAGTGCACTTACGAGCTGTGGCGACTTTAAGTGTAGATAGAGCGCGGTCAACAATCTGATCATGATCCGGTGGCTGGGTTAACAAGTTCCTATTCACAAAGGACTTGATCAAATGAATTTGCACAGCTAGAATACAGTTGACATCACACACGCTATGATCAGAATGTTGTTGGAACTGTCGTTGGCATAAACTCTTAGCTAATGCGTCTGCTTTTTCATTGCCTTCAGTTAAACCAGGGTCTTGACTTGGGTCACGTCCATGAGCTGATACTTTGGATACATGTACTGTTCGATGGTTTAAACTTGTTTCAGCGGCTATGAGTGTCCACAAGTCAAAATTGTCCCAAGAACGCAAAGATGAAAAGCCTTGTGCATTACGACTTTGTTCACGAAATCCTTTGACTATGGTTGCACAATCGGTAAAAATATGGGCGTCTCCGTCTGTTACCTTTAACGCCAGCAAGATCGCTCCCAGCTCGGCTCTTTGTGAACTTTGGTCGAGCCCTGGGAGGGGTCTTGCCAGCTGCAATATTTGCGGAATATATACTGAGCAAGCTGCCGACTCTAGTCTACCCGACTTTGAGCGAATAAAACTGCCATCAGTAAAAATTCGGTCGCCCGGTTGGAGTACATGTTTTGGAGGTAAATCGCCAAATTGGAATGGTTGGTCTTGTTGTAAACGGAACTGTGTGTCACGCTCGCTTTCCCATAGAACACCCATGGTCCATGACGTATCCGGCATTTGCACTGAAACTTCCGGCGGCGGATTCGTTGGACAATGTTTGGACATATGCAAGAGATCATCGTCTGCATCGCAATGTTCGCATTTTCGGGAATTTACCAGGCCTGCTTTAAATTTACGGGGCCCGTCAAAAATTGATCCGGCTAAGAAATTTTGGGTGATATTTTGGGCATGGTCAAGTTTGACTGGTAAATTCCGCAGTTGTTCTACTAAGCCAGGTGCAGGTACTACAGTGGAGAAGTCGTTGTCGAGGAAAAATCGCGTCGCGAACATATTAATCACACCGTCCCGCGAGTCGCCTAAGTTGTCATGCCTTATTGGGGATCTACGGAAAAGTGAACGCCTGACGGATCGTTCCAAGTCATCGTCGAAAAATTTGTTGCTGCCATAGAGGAGTTTGAAGTCTGTATCGCCCGGCCGTTTGAAGGACAAACCGTCGGCCCATTCCCATTCCAATTCCCGAACGACAGCGGCCAGAACCGCTGGAGCGCCAGAGGAAGTTCGAATGGCATAAGGTTTGATCTGTCGGGCTTGACGAAAAACTTTTGCCACCAAGTCGGGCTGACGGCGGTGTAACTTTCTATATGTGAGCAAGACATGTCTAACCCAAATAGCCCAAGGATCAACCCAAACATTATCCCATGTAGACATGGTCAACAAAGGGCATCTCATCCGGTTTTTCTTTGGGAAAACAGTATTGACAACAGCTGTCCTCAAATAATTAAATGCTTTCTTATTCGGGGGGGCAACTTCAGACCCATATAACCATCGGCTATGACCTGCAGTTTTAATATATCCTGATTTGAGTTTGGCTGGAAATGGAAGCTTGCCCATTTTCCGAATGGTTGCAGCAGCTGCTTTCGTTTTCAGGTCAACGGCTCTAGCAAGTCCCTTTGTCGTCACTGCTTGTTGAAACCCTAAAGACTTGACACGCTTTCTGTGGGGAATCTGTTTGCCTACTTGGAGGAGAAATCTGTCGGCGTCTTTCGCCTTTTTGGTTAGGAGCGCAGACTTAGCATTGTTTTGAACTTGGCCAATAGCCTGGTCAAAAGCTTCGAGAACTGTGGTTGCTTTGATGAGCTCAGGTAGGTCTTGCTTACTAGCCCATAGCTTTGTATCGTCAATGAACGCAGAGAAGGTTACCCCTGGAAACTGCTCAATCCTTTTCGCAAAAACAGAGAAAATCAGGTTAGCAAACAAAACACTAAAGGCGCAACCCTGCACGACCCCGTTGGAATGGAGGACCTGATTTCCGTAAGCGTTATTGAGCTTGAAGAATTTGACCTGATGGTTATAGAAGTCTGTAAGCGGTTGGCATATATGAGATGGTAATCCTAGAGTAGATCCGAGTTGAATACAAAATTTTGGCAGCAACAGGTCGAAACATTTCCAACGATCAATAAATATAACGATAGAAGTGTTGTCAGGGGCTTCGTCCGAATCAAACAAGTGGCTAGATAATTCGATTTCTGAAGGGGTAGCCGATCTATGGGGCAATCCGCCCGCGAGTGAAGGGGGGGCCAAATTTCCCAACCATGGCGCCAATTGTTTGAAGCGGACAGATGCCCAGAAGGAATAGAAAATTGACGTAATTCCAATGGCCCGGGTAGATTCAGGGGTCCATTCATGGGTTTTGGGGATGGCAGTAACGGAAACCAAATGAAATGATTTGGGCCACTTCCCACTAGCTTCAACAGTAGTGAAGAAAAGCTTGATGGCCTTCCATGCGCACGGTGGCAATACTTGAATTTCCTTAATCTTCCATCCATCCAAACCCGTGGCTTTATTGGCGGTTTTTTTTTGGAAAAGTTTCCACATGTTAACCGCATCAAAAGGGGGAAGTTCAGTTGGATTCTTCAAACTGTTGATTTCATCCTGAAACATATTTACAAATTGTGCGCAAAGTGCATCTTCATTGGTATTCCGATGATGGTTATAAATCTTTTCAGCATGATCTTTCAGGAGGGAAAGAATCTCATTAGGGCTCCCAGTTAAGGATCCATCAGGGCGAACAAGTGTTTTGGGGTACGAAGGGATAACCCCTTTTAACCATCGAAAAACTTCCCTCTTATCCGCAGAATTGGAAATCCTAAGTCGATCTTTCCACTCATGGATGGCTTTAGTGGAGTCCTGCATTTGTTTGTCGAGATCACATGTTGTCAATGCCTGGTTAGCAGCACTAAGGAATTCAGTGACTTGTTGTTGGGAGAACCCTTGTGTAGGAACCGTGCACCCTAAAGTCCCCAAACCCTTGGAGGTATTAATCAAAGTCCTCTTTAGGTGAGTCATCTAAACAGGATTATCTTCATGTCTCAATCATCAGTCACTATCTTTAACTAAGTATATGAATCACTAATCTTTATGGATAAATGTTAACCACTATCATTAACCACTATCATTAAATATTAATCACTATCATTAACCACTATCATTAACCTTCATTAACCATGATTAACCTTCATTAACCATGATTAACCATTATTAACCATGATTAACCATTATAAACCATGATTAACCATCATTAGCCATTATTAAGCACTACCCTCCAGTAAATTAACATAGACCCTGGCAGTCATCGGGGTTGGAAGACTAGTTTCCACTATAAATTGGTCATTTTCAGGGTCTATGTTAATTTACCAGAGGGTATCTATTTATCTGATGTTATTTGAATATGTGTTTCCATATATCTATTACATGTATCACTCCATACATATTCAATGAGATTTGGGTTAATCCACTTATAACTGGGGTTATAACCCACTTACTAAGTGGGATGAGCCACCAAGTAAGCTTTATCACAAACTTTGTGATTCTCATGGCATCGCGCTTCTTCACATCCGATATCATCCGATCGCCTCGCCAGGCCACCGTAGTTTTGCCAGGCCTCGTCGCAAGAGAAGGGGCCCGTGCACTGGCCTCACGACACAAGGGGCGGACCGGATAAGGCGTAACAAATGGGGGGTTAATGGTGTTGAATAAGGGTGCATGATATATCATGATATATCCTGGTGGTATACATATGTATGGGATATATGATATCTATAAGGGATTTATATGTTCAAAAAATGGCAAGGTGGAATTTAAACAAAGATCATATGGGGTCTAAGCATCAAGATTGTTTGTTTCTCAAGTATCAAAGAATCCAGTTCCTGGTTCAAAGACCAATGACATCCATGAACGATTCCAAAAGTCGGACATAACTTACAAAGATGTGGGATGATGCGGGGGTATAAAGTAGGACTTATGTATGTATGGATTTTACATTGTGTAGTAAATGTATATATGGTCCTGTCTCATGTTCACGGCCCCCTTCCGTATGGTATGGGGGGGTTGGTCAAGTGGTTCACTCTCTCACCATATCCCAGCGCATAGATGCGAACTCACCATAAGTATCCATCAGTATCAGCACCATCCCCCCCATTCTCCCATTAACGTTGTTTATAAAATTCCCACTATCTGTCACTATCTCCCCATTGATAGAGGATTCTCCCATGCTATCCCCATAAACATGATAAAAAACATCAATCCCAAGATTCTTGATTGTTAAATCCCAATGTGTCATGCTTAAATCATGCTTAAATCCCTAAGTTTGAGGATGACCTTCCCAAATTTCAGCGACTGAACTTCCCCCCAATCGGAACCTGAGTCGAAGGCGAAGCGAACGCCAAAATTCATCCCTCGATCCACCAGTGGCTGCGTCGCACGCGTCTGCACCTTGTATCCTTGGAGCGGCTTCATCCCAGCGTCGCCAGGGCCAAGTTCGGAAGTTGATTTTCTGTGATATTAAGTAATAATGTATACCAGTATCATGAAAAACACATATCTATTTATCTGATGTTATTTGAATATGTGTTTTCATATCTATTACATTTACATGTATCAATCCATAAATATTCAATGAGATTTGAATATGTCTATCATTATCAATACATATCAATCATTATCAATTGACTTTGCTTAACTATGATATCAATCAATTGATTATCATTATCATGATCAATTAATCTATCATTGATGATTGACTCTGCTTAATTCACACATCACGTCAAACACCATTTGCCGAGTCGCGAAGGATCCGGGTGATATCAAACCTGGAAAGGATGCCAGGTTGGATAAGGGGCTGCATATATATATATATATATAGCTGTGTCTAAGCCCATAACGAGTGGCAACGTTCATATCATAAACATCATAAAATGTGATAAATATTGAGAAAATATGAACCAACATGGCTGTAATATGGCTTTAATGACTTGAATGGGTGGAAAATGATAATAAAATATGTGAGAAATGCTATCAGTATCATGTGGCAGGGGAACTCTTCGTAGCTCTCACAGGGAATATGGATACCCATATCTCAAAAGCTCCCTCCCTCCTAATCACCAGATAGTAAGCCATAGGTGTTGGGGTGCCCGCTTTCTCCCGTCAACTTTTTTTTATGGGGACGGAAAGTTCCGAGCTGGCCATGTGTGATACCCAGCATGTGGATGCCCCGATTTTGACCCATAGTATGGGATGTCCTTCCAGCAACCCACTGATCAATGGGAGATCTCCAGGATCCTAAAATGGAGGTACCATATAAGGCCATATTTTGTGGGGATATTCCCTGAAACATAGGCCTTAAATATATGGAATCGGTACCTCCAATCAATCGGATCCTGTTGCATGGCCATTGAACTGACACCTCCATTTGGTGGTGTCTAGACAGCGATCCCCTGCTATCCATCCTCACATCGAAAAAAAAACATGTCGCGCAGGGGCCCAAGTCTCCCTGACCTACCAAAAATACGGGCAAAAATATCACCCAGTCACACAAAATAAATCAAAATAAGACCCAGCAGCTTGCGCTTGTAGCCCCAATCGGCACGCCCAACGATCTCGTTGTGGAGATACCACATCACACCACCCAGATCCGCGACGTTCACGTTCTCAGGTGGATAGGTGGTCTCGCCTTGCGCACGGTACACGTAGAAGGTGTAGAGCTTCCCTGTGCCAATGACGTGGAACGTTCCGAAGATATAACTGGGGATTAAACCCCTCAAAATGGGGCCTGAATCACCAAATATGATCATCAATGGATGGATTATAGTGAAAAATGATGGGGAAACTACTATATAATTATATTTGAGTGTAAAAACCATTGTTGCCTGTAAATGTCATCTAATGTCCCCTCAGACCAAGTACCTGAATTGTTGAAATGATTCAACGTCCATACCCAAAAGTATCACAAAAATGCTGACATCAAATCATACCATCATTTCGTAGTGGGATCTTGATCGGTGATAGTCATCCTGAGGGGCCGGCCCTTCACACAGCGGCTGAGACAGTTTAGACCATTCCTACATGTTACATACTTTCATGAAACAAGGCCTCACGCTTCATCTGGCCTAAATCATCCTGGTGTTTCAATGTGTTTTTCCTAGGTTTCGGAGAAGTCACTAACTCCCCAACGTTCATTCTTAGTTACAACATGGTACAAGCCCTGTGGATCTATACTCATCCTGAAGCAGATAGAGTCGATGGGATTTTCGATGGGATTTTCCAAGATATTCCCATTATTAGTCAGGATCCAGTGAAAAATCTCTATATTCATCTATATCCTGGATAACTAAAAGGACATCCCATATTATTTCCCATAATAATCATAATATTCCCATGTTCTACCCTGCCCTGACCTTGGCTTTTCTTCCTCAAAGCCTCAGTCGCTTTTGGGTAAGGCCCAAGGTGATTTGACTGGGCTGTCGTTCACCCATTGTCTTCGCCTTCAACTGGCTCAGCAGAAATCTTCATGCTACTTCTGGTGCTGAACTTACCCTCCACACCTATGTTTTGAAAGAATTTGGTTGGTGAGTTGTGTAGTAGAAACCAAAAGGGAGCCAAATACGACCAAACCAACAAGCATTTGCCCGACTTATTCTCCTCTCTCCCTCCCTCCCTCTCCCTCCCTCCCCCCCCTCCCTCCCCCCCCATCCTCCCCTCCCTCCCCCCTCTCTCTCTCTCTCTCTCTCCCTATTTATTTGTGCATGCAGAAATCATGCAGACATATATCTTCACATATACACATATAAACACTTCAGAGAGAGAGAGAGAGAGATACAGTATATATATATATATACATGCAGATGTATGGATATAATTCCATTTATACTATAAGCCATGGTAATTATGGGATTGTGAGGCCATGGTCATTCGAGTCATTCCCAAGAAATCCATCCATTTCCGAGACACATCGCTGAAGCCGTACTTGGGCACCACCAACTTCTCAGAAATCTCAGCGGTTTCACCCCAGAAATTCATGGAAAACCTCGGACATGTTCATTCAATCCAAAGAACAGAAGAATACTATGTTGATTCTAGAAACAGTCATGAAAATCTAGACATATCTAGAAATAGTATGTCGATTCTAAAAAACAATCATGAACACCTGGACATATCTAGACATTTGAAAATGACATTCTATAACCTTTTACATTTTCATGACATTCTAGACATATTTTAGAAGCCTATCTTTTTACCAACAACTGTGAAGTTTTCCCAGAAACACCAAGGGGGCGTCAGACATCTCTCGGAGAAAACATCAGGGGCACCTTGACACAGGTGGAGCCGTCGCAGTAGTAGCCTGCCTGACGGTTTCCATAAATGGAGGTACCCCCCATAGCTGGTTGCTAGAAATTTAAAAATGGATGATTTTTTTGGGGTACCCCCATGACTTAGGAAAGCTGAAAATATCTCTCTATTATTTCATGCTATAACTATGCTATCACTGAAAAAGAGGTAGGACGGTCCTTTTTGGGATGCTTTTTTGGTCTTCTTCCCATGAATCAGAGCAGGGGACAGGCTCGCAGTAGCACCCCAAGTTGCGCATGGAAAAAATGACAGCATGAACTAAAAAAAACGTGACATCACGCTTAACATCGTTGGTTAAACTGCAAGACATCTAAACAAGTATGAATGTTACAATACCTCACATTGCATGCATCATCATGCATCATCATGCATCTATCACATTGAGAACCTGGATAAATGATGATAAATGATGATAAATGATGATAAATGATGATAAATGATCAATGATTCACAAACTTCACTAACCTGACTCTTGCGCCATTTTGGGATAGCCGAAACCAATTCCCATCCTTCCAGTAGCTACGGGTCCACCTCACAGCAACTTGGGCCCGACCAACCGGCACCACCGCACCTCGGGACGCCATAATCGGTTTCCCACATCGGGAAACCGACAAAGGCCAATAGAAGTGGCTACAAAAACCGCCCAAAATTGGGAATGTAACCCTGACTAAATAAAGTACCCCTGACTAAAGTTTAGTAACCCTGACTAAATTGGTTAATTGGGAGTGTTTAGTAACCCTGATTAAAGTTTCGTTTTGCCCGATTGCTTTCTATCTGGACCGCTCATCGTTACCAATCAAGATCCAAACAATTCGCGCGAAAAAAAAAAGGCGCAACGATTGGAGAAGAAAAGCCAAGAACCTGATGAACTTTGAAACAGACTTTATCTTAGGCAACGAAGCTTTCAAAATCATTCAGAGCTGAATGTGGACCCAGCCCATCACCATAAGAAATGATGATCATCACCATCATCATCACCACTATTCACCACTACCACCACCAGCCCCCAGCATAACTGAACTATCACCCCTACAGGACTACAAAGGATTCAAACTTACCAAGTCAAGTCTCTTTCAGTGTATCCCCATAAAGTCCCCTTGTTTTTGGCTTATCAACACAAGTTCGCTTCGTGAAAAACCACGCTACGAATCACAAAACGCACACTGGGATGATCCTCCAAGACCATCCAAGACCCATGAATTTCAGGTCGATGCTCTTTTTCAGAAAATGAGACAGGCTGCATGTTTACAATCCATTTATTTATATATATATGTATATATATATATTGTATATAGTGTATATATATATTATATATATTGTATATAGTGTGTATATATATATACATATATATAGTATATATATATAGTATATATATAGTATATATATATATACTATATATATATATGTGTGTGTCTCTGGAAAATTGGAATGAATATAATTACAAACCATTTAAGCCATTTCAGTATGTCTGGAAAATGGCTTATATCCAGCCCAAAAATGGCAGCTTCGTCGGTCATGGGCCCAGCCACTGTTCGTCCCCCCAAGCGCAGGAGGTTTGCATGGCTGGGGGACGGCCAGTGGCCTAGGACGGAGATGGTGCCGAAAATGGGAAGATCAGGGGCACTCATCTATGTGTGTATAAATATAATATATAATATAATAATATACAATAATATATCATTAAATATATATATATGTATTATATGTGAATGGATCTATCTCTATATCTGGATATGTAATATAGTAATATATAATATATATAATAATATATATATATTATATGTAAATGGATCTATATCTGGATTAATAAATGATAGCGGTTCACGAATCTGAATTGAGGCCAATTGGGGATGATTTCCCGAATCCTAACGATCATTTCAGTGAGGTTGCAGTGAGGTCGTTATAGTTTACCCAGAATCTATATATATATATATATAGACTTTAATGGGGACAAAGATAAGTAACCAACTCGATGTGATAAACACAAATATACACAAATGTATTAATAAATAGGTTTGTCAGAAATTGGGGTATACCAGCAATTTGTAGATATTTTCAGGAAGAAAAATGATCATCAACTCATCAACCAGTGGATTTGAGGTACCATTTTCAGACAAACTCATCTGAACAAGTCAAAACCAAACCAAACCAGGACCCAGCAAAAGGAATTGGCTTGGGACGATAATTTTCTGAGCTATTTTTGGCCAACCTTCTGATTAAACTGAAGTTCAGTGTCATTGAAACATCAGCAGTGTTCAAAACCCCCAATGTCATCCCTGTAAGGTTCCCACAAGGAGGGTCATTTCCTCATCCCCAATTCGGCAGTATCATCAACCAGATGTTGATCAACACCATCCTAGTCTTGGAATTTCTTGGATATGTTGGGTGCAAAATCCACACTGTGGTATCACTCCCTACCACCAATCAGCAAGGGTGAACTGCGATCACATCACTCTCCCACTTCACCCACCAAGTCGCAACCGCTAGGCCCTCGCCTGGAATGTTTTCACGTCGCGAAGGAAGGTTCAGGCGGGGCCATCCAGAAACGGAAAAATGTCGGGTGATTTATGCAAGAATGTCCCTTTGGGAAAAAAACAGAGGGGTCCGGTTGGTATACCATGTCTGTCCATGTGTCATCATGTGTCTATCAACTGTTTAATTTGTTTAAAAAAACTTCTGTCAGTCAACCAAGCCATGGGATAAGGACATCGGACTTATGACTCACCGTACGAAAAACTGGGTCCAAACATGTCCAAACTGGTTGGATTCGTTTGTGAAAGTTTAGAGGAAACCCCAACCAATTTGATCGTGAAAACCGTGGAACTTCCGGTGAAGATGTTCCCTTAAATCAATCTATTTGGGTGTGTCTGAAAATAGTGTACCCCTAAACCCAATGGTTAATGATCATTATCCCTACTAAATGGCTATAATTGGGAATATACCCTATTTTCAGACAAACCCAAATCAATCTATTTACAAACTGTGAGAATCACTGGACATCTCCACTAAACAATCATAGCTAAAAGTGAAAACCAACTGAAAAACAAAAAAACATGCTTTTGTCCAAAAATGTGACATACCCCCAACCATATGTCATTCATTCTTTTAATTGAAAAACATGATGATCAAGCGCCACCAGATTGTAGAAATATCATGACATAATGTGGGTAAAACATTGTCATAAACCAGCCATTTGGCAATGGTAAAGATACCACCTATCTATGCTGATGACTGGTTAGGATGGTGCAAATGGCATTGTTTTGCCACATGAAGTTCCATCCTAATACCCTCTGGTAAACTAACAATAGCTATTGAAAATGGCCATAGAAATAGTGGAATTTCCCATTAAAAATAGTGATTTTCCATGGTTATGTGGCTGTTTACCAGAGGGTAATTCCATTTATAGTGGATTTGCCCCATCAAAATGATGCTTTTCCATAGTTATGTGACCCCCCTCAACCAAGTCACCCGGTTTCGTGGTGGTGGTGGCCGGCTGCGGCGTCTCGTCCTTCTCACAGTAGCCACGCACCGCCTTGTAACCCTCCTTGGTCGGCTGAGGCGGGTGTAAAGATGGGGGAGATGAACTTGGTGAAATTGCACCCTTACCCTCTGGTAATTTAACAGTTTGCTATTGAAAATTGCCCATTTATAGTGGATTTACCCATTGAAAATGGTGATGTTCCACAGTTTTCTGTATGTTTACCAGAGGGTAATGATCTGGTGAATCACAAACGATCATGATATGGTGAATGAGAATCACATGTAATTTCATATCTCAGGTGAATCTCTCTTGATCGCATTACAAATTGGTATGAAATCTGAGGGAAAGGTTGCTTCAGATGGGAGAAATTTTGACCACAATAATATGCTAAATATTGCTAAATCAAGGGTGGCACAGTCATGGCATTCACGAACCATAAATTCAGTTTCTCTTAGATTGGCCCCTGCAAACTCACTTCAGGTTGAGTTGGGTAACAAATCTTGCCCCATCAGATAGTTTGAAAATTACCCTTCACCAAGGCTTCCCTCGTCATGAGGGCGTCCAAATTTGAGGCTCCATAGGTTTGATCTGCTGAACCATATAGATCATACAGACCACGAGTCCCCCGCCAGTGGGAACCCAATAACCCGAACCATCCGCAGTGCGTCACCGGCTTCCCACCTTTTTTGTTTCTCGGATTTGACCCTTTAGGCACCATTGACTTGAAAAAGGAATTATCTTCATATACAAAACTAGTTTTACTAGAAACAGATGAAACAGCTAGTCCATCTCATATTAGTTACTAGAAACAGATGAAACAGCTAGTCCATCTGAGATATCTGAGGAAATACCCTGTCCCTTTCCGTTAACTTTTGACCAAAAAGACCCTTTCCGATGCCATCTGACAGATGCCCAGCATCTAAGCACCAACACTTGTGGTGCAGACCTTGGAAATACAAAAAAACAATGGGGAAGTACATGTGTAATATGTGTTATATACCATGGGCTTAAGCTACTCTTTCCAATTTCTTGCATGATTTGCATGTGATTTTCTGGGAACATTGGAAAAAGGAAATTTCCGACTGCTTTTGCCCATGATTTTTACCAGTATATTGTGAGCTCTAACATGTTTTCTATTCATGGCTTGAAAATCCCAATCATCTCAAAGAGAAGCCGTCTTTCACAGCACTTTTTACCTATTACCCACAATTACCCACGATTACCCACAATTACCCACAATTACCCACAATTACCCACAATTACCCACTACATCTGAAATTGCCTTGTGGTTGTGGCCAGTACTCCAACCAGGTGTTTCATCCGGATACCCCAGCCCTGTCCGGCCCCATCCCATCCACGTCCAGGGGCATTCCGTGGGGCCTCTCCATCTGCTGCAAGGCCAAATCCAGCCTGCATCCAATGGGGCAAGAACATTGTGCATCTGGGTAAATTATAATAATTCACTAACCTGAATTGTTGGGCCATTTGGGGATGATTTCCCTTACTAACCATGATTCCAGTGAGGTCGCAGTGAGGTCGTTATAATTTACCCAGATATATGATGATAGTAATGTCAACCCCGGATTAATAAACCATCGGTTATTAATTAGGGTGGTACTCCCCAAATAGTCATAGTCTGATACTTAAATAGTCTCCCCCCAATTAAACAACCTAGGGGTTTATTAATCCAGGGTTGACATTATGCATTGTATATTGATGAATTAATTATATTCTAGTAATCATATCAATCATTTATGTTTGAGCCATACGCAGCTATATATCTATTGTAGATGATATCATATATATATATACTAATATATATATATACTAATATATATATATATAAGTTATATATAAGCATATATAATCCCTATATGTGAAGAGTGAAGAGAACTCCCAGCACAAACTTGGGCATCCAGACAGGAGCCACCCGTGTCGCGCTGCACCGGCGAGGAAGTCTCCGACTCGCAGCGTTTTGTGAGCTCGCTGTACCTCTGCTTAAGGGGATGAAAACAAAAATGGTATAACTACTGTATGTATTTCAACTGTTTATCTGGGTGTGTCTGAAAATAGTGTACCCCTAAACCCAATAGTTTTGCTGATCATTATCCCTATTAAATGGCTATAATTGGGAATATACCCTATTTTCAGACAAACCCATTTGGATTGATGAAGAGGGAGACGATTTTTTACTACTATCCCAGTTATTCCATTATAGTATCTGGGAAAGTAATTTGAAAAGTTGAAAGAATGTGGGAACCCCAATTTCATAAACCATCCCCAAGTTATCACCATTCTTGTGGGCTATGGTGATCGGATCTGTGAGGTCGCTCTATAATTAAATTCCTCAGATTCTGTTTTTAACGGGGGGCCCAAGCATAGCTATCGAGGTTTTTCAAAAGAAAGTGTTGATTGCTGAACAACAATATTCAAGATTGATTACCCTCTGGTAAACAGCCACATAACTATGGAAAATCATCATGTTTAATGAGAAAACTCACTATTTCTATGGCAATTTTCAAGATTACTACCATGCTGATGGTGCTCAATGTTCTACCATGTTCTACCCTTCAAGGAAACCCACAGGTGACTGTTTTTTTTTGGGGGAATGTGGCAAACTTTTTGAACTTGTCCCGTCGAAGCCCAGAGGAGTCGCGTCAATGGTGGCGTTTGTTGAAATCTGTCGATCTCGAAGATCGAGCTGCTCTCAATCCTCTCAAAATCCCCACAATCCGCTTCCAAGGCACTGATAGCCGTGCTGGCAGATGCATCTGTAGTGGTGGCACTCAGTGGGTCCAAGCTGCTTGCCACAATGGTAAATCAAACACGTGGAGCCTTAGATACCACCGAATCGGGGGTTGGATGATGGAACTTCCTGGATTTTTCTGGTGGCCAAAATTGTGGTTTTTCCAAAGGTCTTTCTTTTTGAGATGGGATGTCTATGTTTTATGTCAAGAGTATCTAATCCCTTCCCCCTATTACTAAACCCCCCGAATAATAAAAACTAGGGTCCATCTCCAATTTTGGAAAATTTCAGGTTGGCCAATTTGACCTTTAATTTGATCCCCTTTAGAAAAAAATTAAAAATAAAGCTACTATTTATTGTGGGTTTCACTCCCTAATAATAAAACTAGTCAACCCCGGGGTGTTTTTTATTAGGGTCCGTCCGAAAATTTTAGTTTTTATATTAGGGATATTAATTTAATATTAGGGGTCGGCATCGAAATCCAATTTTTGGCAATACTTTAATTGCGTTATAAAAGGAAAATTAACTGATTTTGAAATCGAAAAAATAGGGGTTTTAATTAATTCATTACAGTCCGCTTCGAAATCCAATTTTTGGCAATATGTTAATTCCGTTATAAAAGGAATTTAACTGATTGTGAAATCGATTTTTAAAATATATATTATATATATATTAGGGTTTTAATTTATTATTAGGGTCCGCTTTGGTTCCCTAAATAAAAACTACCTGAGGTGTTTATTATTTGGGGAGGGGGGGTGGCCCGCGTTTAGTATTAGGGGGAGAGGATTACTTTATGTGGTTTCCTTCATTTTGGCCGGAACATCCCACTTCATCCCACTTCTGTATTTTGTGATATTGATAGTATTGTTCATAACATAACATAACTATGGAAAATCACCATGTTCAATGGGTAAATCAACTATGTCTATGGCCATGTTCAATAGCTTTTTGTTGTATGTTTACCAGGCCGGGTATCGTGACCAAATTCTCCAGACTTTGGGGGTGCGACCAACCATGAAACAAGCGGAGACCTCAACGCAGGTTTGCTCCCAAACTATCCTCAACGGGTTGGAGGTAAATCATGAATTCCCCCCCCAAAAGTGGCAATCATTTACCTAATTTTACCTAGGATCAACGAAAAAAACACCAACACAAAAAGTCAAAGGTAGGAATTCACCTCAAAATACCCCAAAAAAAAACTGTGAATTCTTAGAACCCAAACTTCTTCAAATTCCTTGGGCCGAGTCGCCGGTTTCTCTGTTGCCCTGCCACCTCTGCGTGTCTGCACCTGATCCAGTCTCCAACAGGGAGATGACGAATGGATGCTAATGGCTATGAATGGGATATTGATGGGATATTGATGGGATAATATAATATAATATATATATATATATTTATTTACATATTAATGTAATTTAATTACATATATATATATACATATATATATAGTAATAGATAGATAGATATACGTTGGTTATGGATGTCTGGGATGAATGGGTTTACCACAGAATACTCAAGTTCTGACCAGTCACGACCTGCACCAACATAACTTGACCCATACTTGACCCATGCCCAAACACAAAAGGTCAAACGTCTGTGCCTGTATAGTTTCTCATCTACTGGCTGGAAAGAGTGGAAGCAGCCTTTCCTGATCGAATTGTCCCACTATTTATGGTTGCTTCTCTCCATTTTGATGGCTGGGATCAACGTGTGTTGAGGACAGGAACAAGCCACGCAAGGCACCTCCTCCTAATCATCAACGCACACCTCTTCACCAGCTATGCTCCCCTGTTTGGTCGCACATGTGATTTTTTCTAGCTCTGCTGCGATTCCTGTTTGATAGCAAACAGCGCCCTTATAAAATGGTTTCAAAATACAAGACGGGGGTGACACCCCCGGGGGTGACTATAAAATGGAAAAAGATCCCAGCCTACAAAGTGTGGGCCTCGCCCCAAAGTTGTCTGTAAAATCATATCCAAAACAAAACAGCATTCATAGGGGCCACAAGGCCTGCCATTCTGTAGTGGAAATTGGAACCCCGATGCAAACGTGTTAAACCTGTTTGCTTCTTTTCATTCTCATTCGATTGAAAATTCAGTTGAGGAGATTCAAACACTACCTGGGAAAGCGCCACTCAAGGACACTGAAGGCAACTTTTCCTGATCGTCAACACTCAGCTCAGAAGTGGTCACTGGCTCCTGGATTCTTGCCCTCCTTCACTTCTGTCTGCTTTTCACATCTGCACCCACGGAATCTTCCGGCTGAATTGGGGGATCATCTGGTTTGGTGCCGTGGACACCACTGCTTTCTGCAGCAACCAAAGATCCCACGCCGTCGCCGGCTGGACCTTCGGGGGCCGCGGCGGGGGGCTGAAGGTCTTCGGCCATCCCCACATTGGCCTCGCCGACATTGGCCTCGACGACATTGACGTGCCCGGCACCGTTGCCTCCACGCACCACGGGCGCAGGCGGACGGTTCCACCGAGGAACGAAGATTGGAGCTGTTGAGTCTAGGGCACCCTTCTTGAGTCTGTCCTGCAGCCTTTGCGAAGGAGGCTCCAAACCAAGGGCGTGAACAAGGTGCAAGTCGCCCATCGGGAATGATGCAAGTCGAACCGCTGAGCCGATCTTGAGCCTGCCAACTCTCCTGATTGGACCAGTTATCAAGCCGAAACACAAAACATGATTGCTACATACCGTTACTACAAGTAACTATGCACCACTGCTTCATTTGGATCTTGGAAGCAAACAACTTGTTCCCAACCTTCGCATGATGAAGCGTTTCAAGGTGCACGCCTGGCTATTCCAATGTGTTCGATGACTAATCCTCTGTAAATCTAGCTGCGGCCCTGTTGTTTTGGCATATGATTTGATATTTTTTATGGTTTGAATGTATATAGTGATAACCAATATTATGATATTTGGGTGTGTCTAAAGGACAATCCCTTAATCTGACGGTGTGTATCTGTTCCAAGGGGCGCGAGAAGTTCAGCTCAGCAGAGAGCTTGGCCGCCTGATCCACCCCACTGGAGGAAGCTTCACCCATCTACTTCAATGGGTTATAAGTTATAAGTATGGTAATTACATAACATGGATGAACGGCAAAAAACATGTTGGTGAAGTTGACTAAGTGGCTTATCCCATCTAAAAATGGGTTATAGCTGTGGTTATTAACCGCTTATATTAAGTGTGCTGATCCGCCTACAGTTGGGTTCCAAAGCTGGTTGGCGCTGGACCATGACCCATCCCAACAAACGCGTTTTCTGACCAGACATCTCTGCCGCCATTTCTAAGTGGACCAACCCTACTTAGCCCAATTATATATAATCAAATATATAATGATAGTAATAATATTTATAGTAGTAATAATAACATTAATTAATATATGTATATTAATATATGTGTTTTAACCATTATATATAAACCTACTACCAGTAAGTTGGATGACCGATCATCACACCCCCTAAGCTTCGCGCCTGCCGCTGTAGCAAGCGCACGCTGCAAGTCTCATCCTCACAGGCATCGCCGTCCACGGGGTCCACGTGGTCGTCCGCGGAGCCTTCGTGCGGTGCCCCTTTGGATATTGGCAAAATTGGTGATTTCATGTGAATTCATGGGATGTTATGGGGGATTCATGGGGTTTAATCATGGTTAATGTATGTTAATGTGGTCTAGTTTAGCTAAGTTGGCTCAAGATTGGTAAAACTGCTGGGTTTATGCTGATGAACTCACTTTGATGGGGTTATAAACCACAGAACCAGGGGGTAACACCTTCGATTCAACCTTTGTGAAACCTTTCGTGCAGCTTTTGCAACGGCACTTTTCAACTTGGCTTTGGTCCGGCTTTCGCTGGGCTTTCGCCATCATGAGTCCATTTAAGCACACCTTTTTGATAGTCTTTACATGCAGTTTTGAACACTGCTCAAATTCTGGCTACGGATATTGAAGTATGACAGTATGACCCATAAACCCCAATCATCCAGTGATTTCCGCTCGGGATGGTTTTGAGCGGAAGTTCAGGGGTCAGTGCTGAGGGAGTTCACAGTGCTGGTTGTTTCATGTTGTTTCGATCAAGTCACCTACATCATGGTGCCCCCTTGTTATAACTTGCTTTGTCATCCTCCCATCCATAGTTTTAATCGCCAGAAACACTTGTCAATGACTTTGACCCATCTTTCATCCGAAAATTTGGAGGCCCATCGCCTGAGAAGACAAGGGCAGCGAGCAGCGCCCACAGGCGCTTGTTGCGCCCCCTCAGTGCTGCTAGGATACTGATTCTCAGAGCCTCTGTATGTATCTGACATGGCTGTGATGGTAACAATGACGGTCACATCATGATCAACCAGCTAAGGCCGGCTGGTCACCTACCCAGCGTGCATGAAAATTGCACCCAAGCCGCATGGAGAAAGGTCCAAACGCTTCTGGTAGGAAAGGAGCCATGAGTAAGCTGAGCCGAAAATGTGTACGAAGCCCGGGCAAAAAAAATGTTTCACTATCTCAAGATATCTCAAGATTGAAGACCCAAGCATAGCACAGTTTTTGGATACCATGGAAAACTTGCAAAATCTCTAGCTGCGACAGACCTTGATCACATCATTGGAGCCAAGGCCTAGGTGATACCCTCTCCTAGAATCCAAGTGGCAGTGAAACATCCTGAGATCATTTGCCTTTTTGGGATCTCATAGGATCTCATAGGATCTCTATATATATCTTCCCAGAATCGAAATACTATAGGTTTTCATAGGAAATTCATAGGTTTTCATAGGTTTTCCGCCAGGTGACAATTCCTGAGCCATCCCCCCCGGAATCCCAAAACGGTGCACGGCGCACCCGTGGTTCTTTCGGCGCCAAGTCGGCCAACCACTCGGGCAATCCACCAGGACCCGTCTGGTGAGCAATTCGACCAGAAACAGAGAAACAAAAGAGATGCACCTCATCAACAAATCCATCAATTATCATCAATTATCATCAACAAATCCATCAATTATCATCAATTATCATCAATTAATTATCATCAATTATCTTCAATATTCATCAATTATATTCAACTATCATCAAAAATCCATCAATTATCATCAATCATCCAATAAAAAGCATTAAAAAACACCCCCATGCCCATATAGGAGGGTTTCCGTAAATGGGGGTACCGGGGTACCCCAATAGCTCGATATGTTTTTCCATGGGAAAATCTTCTGTAAATTTCATGGATGATTTGGGGGTAGCCCCATGACATATCCCCATCCCCAATCAATGGCCATTTCAGGAACCTAAATTGGAGGTACCTACCATATATAAGGCCTATGTAAGGCCTATGTAAGGGGATATACCCCCAAAATATGGCCTTATATGGTACAATACCTCCATTTGAAGATCCTGAAATTCCCATTGACCCAAGGCCCATCCCCGACCTGGTCCCACTTGGACTTCTTCCGCGGTTTCTCCGACTTCTCGGGTTCCATGGCCCCGCTGATCGCGGCCCCGGCGTTGGCGCCGCCCGCGGAGCCCGCGGCATCGCCCTGGGGATGGCAGTTATGGGTTGGCCATGGGAAATGGCGCAACGAAACTGGGGATTTCACGGGATTTTTTATGGATTTTATAGAGGATTAGTGGAGTGTTCTATGAAATTTCATGGGATTTCGAAAGTGACTGAGGGTTTCATAAGTTTCATAGGGAGATCATCTCAGCATTTGAAGTTGGTTTGAAGTTTGAACATGTGGAAACTCAGATTTGAAGTCATGTCCAAAATTGTCTCAAAGGATTGGTTTGTGGGAAAATTTACAGGAAAGCCCCATATTTAATGGGAAAATCCATGGTTTCCTGTAAATTGTCCCTTAAACCAATCCATTGATTGTCAAAATTGTAGCACTCCCGAAGACTTTCTTGGGCCCCAAATTTTGCCCCTTTCGCCATCTTCTCGGGATGCCCCGAGATGACACTTCAACCCAGTCTGCTGTGTGTTGATGGGACGATGTTGTTCTCAACCCCGTCAGATTCTAGGGCACTCCATTTTCAGACAAACCCTAAATGGGTTTGGTTATGTTTGGTTCAATAATTTGGCTACCAATCAACCCTCCAAATTGGTCATCTCGACCAAAATTCCGCTGGATAGATCATATTCAACACCCAAAACGGACAAATGATACTAAAATTTGGTGACATAGATATGTATAGCATAGTAGCCACCGAAAACGGATAAAACAGAAAAGCTTGCATTTACCACTAAACTTTCGGATAGGTTTTTACACGGTTCTATCTTTCTAGGGTTTACGCTAGAACATCTCAAAAAAGACGAACCTTTTTTCAAAAATAATCACATTCCCCACATCGTTTGTTGTACATCCCATTTTACCTCCATTGCCCATAAATCCCCATTCTACCATATTCTACCCACCTGTGCCATGGCTTAAAACGTGGTATGATTAATAATACTTATGATATATCCATATATATCCCATGATATCTCCATGAAATCCCACATGAAATCCGCATGAAATCCGGTCAAAACCTCCATGAACTTCCACAGAACCCCATTAGATCCCATGAACCTTCTCTAAAATCCCATCAAAAATCGCCATGAACAAACACTAACCCTCTAAAAAAAAACATGAACCCACCATGAACTCCCCAGTTTCGTTGCGTCAAAAAAACCCGGTGGCCCACCTCCGGCGGCATCATCGGCGCCGGCTCCGAGGGCAGCGGCGGCATGCCGTCCGGCGCGGAGGAGAAGCCGCCGGACTCGTCGCGCTGCGGCATGGACCTGAGGTCCCCAGGGGGTCCCAAGGTTGTTAAGGGCTGTTAATGGTGGTTGTTAATGGTTGTTACCCTCTGGTAAACTAACATAGCTATTGAAAATTGCCATGTATAGTATTAAAAATGGTGATTTTCCATAGTTATGTTAGTTTACCAGAGGGTAATGGTTCTGAATGGTTACTGTATATTAATGGTTGAATAATGGTTGTGAATGGTTATTAATGGTCTAATGGGGATTGAAATGAGATTTCGTGGGATTTGTATGGTGATTTAGTGGGATTTCCCCTTCTGGTATTTTAACATAGCGACCTGGAAAATCACAATTTCTTGTAATTACCTTCTTTCCCGATGCCTGCATGTGGCAAGATGGAATTATCATAAGGGTATCTGGGGCGTTGTCATGGTTCCATGAATCTTCTCCAAAACAAAATACGCCTACGTTTTTATCGACCAATGTGTTCCCATAACAAATATCATCGGATGAATACCATCTGGTTATTTCACATAGCCATGGAAAGATCCACCATTTTTACTAGGTAAACCATCTATAATGGGCCATTTCCCATGGCTATGTTACATAACCAGAGGGTAACCATTGAAACATCGGATGAAAATTGGAATGACGACCCGACCCTAGAAGACCCAACGTTGCAAGTCCTCAGGCTCCAAGCAAAGTTGCTTTAATCCCCTAGGGCCCTAGGGGAAAACAACATAAAACAACAACCTGGCACCAAACTCTCCATTGATCCATTGTGAGGTGCTACTTTTTTACCAACGGTGCCTGGAGTATCGATGTAGAGTATTTCTTCGTGAGATCAGCATTTCTGTGTCGAATTTCAACACGTCTTTCTTTCAGATTCCCAGGTTTTTTCATGGCAACAAAAATAGATGGCTCTGACAAATTAGGCCATTTCAGGCCATTTCTATTTATTTCTATTTATGAGCATCAATACCATCTGGTAAACTAACATAGCTATTGAAAATGGCCATAGAAATAGTGGATTTACCCATGAAAAATTGTGATTTTCCATAGTTATGTGGCTGTTTACCAGAGGGTAAACCACCCATAAATCGCAGGTTTTTTGCTCTCCCCATGGGATATCCCCATGGGTTTCGCACTCAGGAGAGATGGCTCGGTTCTTCTCCGCACGACCTGGAGAGGATGAAATTCCGATGTGGAAAGTCATAAAAGCCATGTTCCAGTCACCACCAACCAGGATAATATAATATAATATATATATATATACGTATATATACTATGAATATACATACTATATACTATATATATGTAAGATATTGTAAGTAAGTTGGAATCATCCTCCCATTTCCAGGGTTGAAAATATATACAGTATATATATATATAAGTATATTGAAAATAAGATAAAATAAGTATGTATTTTGAAACCACCAACCAAATATGTGTACCATGTTGGCCGGTGTGGTCTTTTTGACGTCACCAACAGGGATAAAAAAAAAACAACAAAAACACAGCAGCATGGACGTTCCATTGCCGATGTTTGAGCGCTGAACTACACTATAGCCCCTTTTTAGTGGATACGAATCGTACTACCCTCTGGTAATTTAACGTAGCTATGGAAAGATCCACCATTTTTCATGGGAAAACACACTATTTCTATGGCCATTTTTTCAATAGCTATGTTAAATTACCAGAGGGTAATTTTGATTCATGCTCATTTGACTATTTCTCAATAAATAAGGGTCATGTCATGTCTATTCTAGCAGGGAAGCCATGGTTTTTGGTTGCGAGTTTGCACATGTTTCTTCCAAAAAAAGACTGGATGGTTAACACTCGAAATTTCTTTGCTTAGCATGCGGCAATCAACCAGAACAATTG